ATAACTAACTGTTAAAGCCATATTAAATAAAATTAAATTAGTATAAATATAATGATATAAAATTCACAGGAATCAATTTCTAAATTAATGGGGCAAGTCATAATTTAAAATTGATGAGGGCCAAGTTCCTAAATTAATCCGAAGAAAAGTAATAGTCAAACAATAAAACCATATTAGCAAAATTTTTGGGGGTCATGGCAGGATAAAACTTATATCAAGTTTTTTAAGTGAAATTTGTGAAATATTTTTTTAAAAATGATTTAATAAAAATTTTAATAAAAAATATAAATTGATAGATTGATAGAGTTTAATATAAAAATCAATAATATATAAAAAAAATGATTAAAAATATTATTTATAAATTTGTTCGATACTTATTTGATAGTAAAAATTTTATCAATATTTTTACTAAAAATATTTATTAAAAAAAATCAAAATTTATTATAATTTTTTTAAACTTTATACACCCAGATCTATATAACGAAAATTTTCGATCTATCAATTTTTATTTAATCCTTTTTTTAGAAAACTTCACAAATTTCACAAAAATTTCGTCTAAATTTATTCCCACAACCCATGCTTGCCCACCCTTGTCTTTGCTTTTGGTTCTCTAATTATGTACTTTTCCATTTTTTTTTATCAATTATAAAACTTGCTTTTCAAAAGACAAAAAGTTTATCCGAAAAAAAGAACACATATATTAAAGGAACTCTATTTTTAAAGAGCAATGGTGCTCAAGAATACCAAAAAAAAAAAAAAAATCATACTTAGCACGTATTTTATTTTCTCCATTAATTTTATGCTTCACACACTTACCAGGCAACCAAAAAATATTTCTAATTTTGTAGCACTAGTGTGGCGCAACATTCAATTTGCACCATCATACAAAGTAAGAGTATACACTAACATTATTAATATTTGCTAAAGATAAATTATTAGTGCAGAAAAACCATTCATCTTTAAAAAAAAAAAAAAAAAACCTTAAAACCAAGTGACCTTCTTTTCAAAAAATAAAATAAAAATAATATTAAAATAATAAAAACATGAAAATTTAATTCTTCTATCTTGTCAATTCATCAAGTGAATTTCTCTTCTATAACTATGCAAAGAGACGTTGAGAATCTTTAATATGAATCACAAACTTAATTTCTTGATTGGTGACTGATCAGCAATGTTAAGATAGGGTGAAGAAAATATTTTTTTCTAAGCATGTTTGTAAGTCAAAAATTCCATTCAAGTAATAGTTCCTGGATTAGGGCAAAAAATATAATTAAATTGTGAGTGATGCTAGGGACATCACAACAAATCTTTTCTATTAATTGTTGTCTCAGCAATCCAAACAATGTGAAAATTGAACTATTATCCATCAAATTCGTAGTAGTGAATAATTAATAGAAAAAAAATGTTGTAGTAGTGAGAGTTTATGCAACATTATCATCAAATTGGGGTCTAATTAGCTGGTTGGATGAGGGTAAATATATTAATATTTGACCGACTTCGAGCAGGGACACTTTGGGTTATTTCTTTTTGGTTTTTTTTTTTTTTTTAAACTTTGCTGGTGTTCTGTCAGTGCCCAAGGGAATTGGTAGCTAGGATTAAGGTTTCTTTTATTTTGATTCTTCTTTTACTTATCCTTCATGGGTGGCCACTTCCCCTTCTCTAACTGGAAACCTCAAATTGAAAGATCTAATAGAGTAGTCCACGAGTTTATTAATTATTTAAATAATTAATTTGTAAGAAAATATAAAAGTAAAGAAATTTGAAGGAATGATGTTTGATTAGGAAACAATTACTAGGAGAAGAGTTTGGTGATTAGTTTAAACAACGATACATGATAGAGAGGTGGGTCATCTTTTATATATACACAATTATTTCTTTGGCATAAAGTAAATCATACTTTAACGATAAAAAAAAAAAAAAGAGTTGTAAATGTTTAATTAAATATGAATTATATATATTTTATATCAATTTTTAAGAATAATTATATAAATTAATTTAATTAAATTTAAAATTTTATAAAACTATTTCTTTATAATATGAAAAGTTATTCATTAATTATAATTTTTATAAACTTGGAGTGTTGAGAATTCCCTTGAAAAGCATTGATTAAATTATGGTATTATAAAATTATATTAAAAAAATTAAGTAAAAATAATAATACTATTAGTAGTAGTAGAAGTTTGCATCATCCAATTCGTCATGGTGCACAGATTTGAGGGAAAGTTAGATGATGAAATTAACCAAAAAAAAAACAAAAAAACAAAAGAAAACTTCTTAATTCGATCTTCTCTTTCTCTACCCCTTTTTCCTTTTGTAAACGTGTGCTTTCCACTTTCTTTTTTTTTTTTTTCGTTGAAGCTCTCTCCCTTACAGGGTGACATGCAATTGTTAAGTATCATGATTTTTTAAGCCTTCGATGCCACGTGGGTTTTACGTTGACACCATGTGCTTCAAAGCAATTAGGGTTTTAATGGAGGTTTTATAACTATGCTTTGCTTTGCTTGTTGTTATTGTGACTGATGGAGAGCAGTATTAACAGTCACTCCGTCCCATCATACTAATTATCATGTATTGGTTCTCGTGAAATTAAAAAAAAAATAATTTTAATATATTTAATATTAAAATTTTAAATCTTTTTTATAAGATTAAATGCCAAAAAATAAAATAAAAAATAAAAAAAAGTAAGAGTTTAGATATTCCAAAAAGAAAATAGAATATATTTTTGAGATATCTCAAAAAAATATTAACAAAGAAAATGAGATAAAGAGAACAATATTAAGCTTATTTTATCGGTTGTGATCCGCATCATGTTTTCGGTTTTATGAAGAAAAGATAGAGAAAATAGGCATACAATGTTTCATGTTTTTCAATTAATCTTTGTTGGGGAATAAGCGATGTAAATCTATTATGATATTGTGGAATTCGGTGAGTCTTAGCACCGAAAAATTAGAATTTAATTTAAGAGCAATGGGAATTTGTATTTTTTGGTACTATACTGTAGGATACATGTAGAATTTCCAGAATCGAAAAATTACTTTCAATGTTCAAAGATTAATATTTTATATATATATATCCATGGTGCTGAGACAGGTATTTCTTGCATAGATTTTATGAAAGAAAAATGCAATTACCATAATGATTTCGATCATTGAAAATTAAGAGAAAAATTAGATATGATGATTCATATATTTATATCATATAAACTATTAAAATTTATATATTAATATCGTATTTTATATGAAAATTATCTATTATAATTTTTGTCAATATAAAAATATAAAATATATATTTTTATTTTATTAAATTTAGATATAATTATTACTAAAATTTTAAATTTTATTATTTTTATATCTTATATTTATATCGTATTCATATAATATCATCATATCATATTTTAAATTGTTAAATCTAAAAAAATGACTATACAAAAGAAAAGAAAAGGAAAACTTTTTTTTTTTATGTTTGAAATTTTGGGTTTAGAGTTTTAATTTATGACAAATTTCATGTTAAATTTACAGGTGTAAAACTCAAATTATTTTACTACTTTCAATTAATTCATATAAATATTTTTAAAAATTATTATTTTAATAAATTTAAAATTTAAATTTAAATACATACCATCTTTTTTAACTATCTTAAATTATTGTCTCCTTAAAACTCAATTTTTTTGACAAAATCCTGAGATAAACCTAAGTGGGACTTTTGTGTTGGTGTCCAGTTGCTCTTTCAATTCTCAATGAGAATTGAGTAGTCAGAAAAAAAAAAAATCCTAAACATGTCATCCTCCATACATCCAACCTTGATAAATTTATGGCCCATATTCATTCTATGGAAAAAATGAAATTTTACATAACTTTTTTTGAATAAAATACCCAAAAAAAAAAAAAAAGAAATTAATCCTGCCGGGGGGTTATGTAATTTCATAAATTTTAATTTGGCCAGCTGCTTTTTTGTATATAAACACAAATTAGCTTTAATGAGATTAATTTTTGTTTTGCAATAAAGAATAAACTAATAAGACGCGAAAATTATATATTTTACTTTAATTTAAATCTCATATTTTATTTTATAAATTTTTAAAAAATCTCACATTTTATAAGTGTGAGTTTTGCTATATATATTTAGAAAAATAGTGGTACTAATAATTGTAACAAATTTTTTTTTATTTTAGATTATGATTAGGATTATAATTCTGTTTTATCACTACAACTAATCAAATTAATTATAGATCAATAAAACATAACAAAATGCAGTATTGAAATGACTAATTTTTTTTAATTTGATTTCAATTAATTGATCATCAAATGCATCGATTTAACAAAACATTTAATTGCAACAATTCCCAACTAATTAGCCAAATTAAAGCTTTCAAAAGTACTTTCTGGTGTACTTAATAAAACCAAAAATTAAGATTAGAGCAAAGTTGACTAGCTAATTACTTAACTGATCACTCTGTTAATGTATGTAATTTATTAAAGATTTATATTTAATTAATTATCAGTGTATAAATTTTATATAGATAATACAATTAAGATGAATCATATCGAGTAAATTTTTTTTTTCTGTTAGATTTTTAAATCACTTCAAGTCTTCAACCGACCATAGAACCATGTCCTCTGCATTTTGAATCAGAAAGGCTCTTCGATATCTGCAGACAAGAAGGGAAAAAAAATGGAGTCAAAATAATGGCTGCCAAAACCCAAAAGACAAAAAGCTAATAATATGTAACTATGTTTGAAACTGAATGAACAACATTATTCAAACTTAATTGTAGATAAAAAAGAAAATATGCACTAAAAAGAATTGGGAACAGCCGAAACAGGCAAATTCTGTGTGCACTGTAAATATTTATAATCCAGAATGAAGAAGTGAAAACTTCACAGATAAAAATGAAGGATGAAGGAAAGAAGGAAAGGGAAACCAGCAGAGCTCAAATTCTATAGCTACATGCTAAAAAGCTACAAGCTGGTTCCTTGAAACCTATAATAAGGGGGAAAATCCCTATGTCTAACCTAAAATTAAATTTCCAGGAGAATCCAGGAATCTGTAATCTGAACCATCCCTCTGGTAAAGATCTCCCTGTGCGGTTGTAAAAACCTGTTTTTTTTTTTTTTTCTTAACTTAATTTACGTGTAATTAATCTTGATTGAGCAAGGCCTTGGCGTCTATAAACGTTCCATGAAAGCCGTATGGGACCCTGGAAGGTAATTTAATTGAAGCTTCGAGCTGTAAATTCATGGCGTTTACAATTTGAAGCTCTGATTTCCAAGTTTTCTCGTCGTGCACAAATGAAAGAATATAGCCATCATCTTCAGCTGATTCACAATTGTCGTCTCCAGGCAAGAAAAACGGCTCCCCACCATATCTTTTATCACCATAAATGTGTTTTTTTACCTCCCCAGTAAAAAGATCAACCTTGGCGAAGCCCGACACTTTCGGCCATGGTTCAGCAATGGCAAGATAAGCGTACCTTGTCTTCCTTCCAAGCAGGTTTCGGTTAACCATCCCAGCTTCCAAGTTCACTTGCTCCGATTCTGAGATTATTGGGCGGCGCGTGGACTCACCTGTCTTCAAATTAAGCCTAATTTCGGACAATACACTCTTTAAACTCTCGTCACATTCGTTGAAAATAGAGTCGGGAGGTGTCATGCAAGAACCAATCACCACAACTTCATCCGATTCCGGCTCTTCCCAAGCGTTCCATAGGTGAAAACAGAAAGTGTCAGGCGACTCAACCCAAATAATATCCTTAGAATCACTTGGATTTTTAGAAAGAATCCCAAAACGAGACTTCTTGTTCTTGTCATAAATCACAGGAGACCCACCGGTAATCATTTCTTGCAGCTTGAACACTACTTGCTGATCAGGGATCACCACGAAATTCTTGGTGATCGCGAAATCATGCATCATAGTTGGCACGGACAGAGGAATCTCGACATCTGGTGATTTTTTACCGTCAGGGAAAAACCTGAAGTACTTTAAGTAAGGCTTTTGGACAACATCGTAACTCAAGGCAAAGAGTTCCTTGGAAAAAGGATCAATTTTGGGATGTGCAATCATTGAGGATTTAAGTTGATCATCAAAACTGTATCTTCCAACTGTTTCCAAATCACCCGAGGAAGTGATGCGCACGTGGTAAGGAAGATCATCTTCGGACATCGCTAGAAGTCGGTTATTGAAATAGACTAAGCCAGCGTTAGCTACTCCAGTGCCTTTTTTGTGATCGACAAGGCCAAAAAGCCCTCTCGCATAAAAAAGTAAAAGCCTGGCAATCCCTGAGTGGCCATGAAGTTCACCAATTGCCTTAGGGAAAACAGGGCGGCCCAATTCTTTTTCTTGTAAAAATCTTTGCGTTTCAGTAAAACGACAAGCGTAGCTGGCGTCCCCATTATCAATGGTAACGGCATGTACCATGCCGTCACCGTCAAAGAAGTGGTGGCCAGCAACAGGCTCGAATGAAGGGTTGGCGCCGTTCCGGAGATAAACACCGTTGATGCAAGAAGGTATGGTGCCAGTGATGGGAAGAGATTGCTTGACGGGTTGTTCAGGGACGGGAGCAAAGTTTCCGGAGATTTGCACACGTGGGTCAGCGGTTTTAGGAAGTGGGTGTTGACGCTCGTGTGAGACCAACGCCCTTTCAGCCAGGTCAAAGGCCATGGCTGCAGCTCTTTGGAGGAGGTTCCAGTGTGGCTGTTGTTGGGGCTGGTGGTGGGTTTTGGGTTTTACATTTACAGAGGTGTCTTCTCTTGGGATTAAAGGGCTTTGGACTGGTTGTTTTGGGAAATGGGGAACCGAGGGAGAGTGCAAAACTGACTGAATAATGTTGGCATTGTTGCTTCCCCTAAGACTAGTTCTGTTGGGCTGCCGTTTCTTCCAGGATATGGATGTTGGAGAGAAGCCCAAATCCATTGTCCTGGAGGAGAAGGAGGAAAGAGGATGGGAAATCTGGGCTTTGGCCCAATTACCTGTGGAAGAAGCCATGGCTTTTAAGGGAAGTAGGTGTTTTTCTGGTTCCGGGTGTGCTCAAATTGAGGGCAAGAGATAAGAGTGTATGGCGCCTGATCCCCAAAGAAATGAAAGTGAGAGGAGGTGGGAGAGAGAGCGAGAGCTTTGGAGAGAAAGGAAGAGAAAAATGGAGGTATAAATAGAGTTTGGGGTGCTGAAAGAGAAGGGAATTTGTTTGTGTAGCGGTCCACCTCAGACATCAAAGGGAAAACCACATGCTGCATTTGTTCAATGGGCACTCGGTGATTATCAATTGCAAACTTTTTGTAGACTTTATAGCAGTAAAGGAGAGTCTTAACTCTCAACTCGCAAAGAAAAAAAAAATCATATTAAAAAATACGATACGATTCGAAATATTATTTATTTTAATTTATAATTTTATTTTATAAAATTTTTTTTATAAATTGATATAAGTCATAATATTTGACAATAAAATCGACTCTGAAGATATTAACAATGTGACGTCGAAAAAAATAGAATGATGTATGCAACAATAATCAACCTGTGAGGCAAAATAAAAAACCTGCGAGGCCATTCATCAAAAATTCGCTTGAAAGATGGTTAGGTTTCAGCATAATTGGAGGGCAGAGGGTCCCTTGAATAGGGACCAATGAGAGGGACATTTAGAGTCAGAGACACTTGTTCCCAAATCCCACGGAAACGCAGATAGTGAAGAATCAAATCACTCTACTGTTGAAACAAGCAAACCCCTACTTTTTTTAAAAGAGAAAATCTAGTTTAATTAGTTGCTTATTAGGCCTTTCATTTCCTTTTTGTTCTTACAAAATATGTCATAAATATTTTATAAAATTATAATAAAATATTTGATATAATAATTAAAATTTTTAAAATTTTTAATATAATATTTAAATTAAAAATCATTAATTAATATAATATTTATATTTAATATTATTAAATATTTGTATTTAATATTATTAATAATATTAAATATAAATATTATATTAATTAATAAATTTATAATTTAAATATTATATTAAATATTTTATTATAATTCAAAAACTATTCAAACCATTCACCTTATAAAATTTATCTTCCCCTTTTTAGAGATCTCATCTACCGACTTGACCCACACAATCTTTTTTGTCTCATTCCTTTCCAACCACGAAATCTAGGCATATCATTAATCCCATAGTACCTCACCATCTTTTAAATATATATATATATATATATATATATATATACAAAGAAAAATTAACTTACAAAATGAAAATTTAAAAAAAAAATTGCATATTTTTTTAATTAATAATTTTAATATATTTTAAGGATGAGATTAAATTTTTTATTTATTTATTTATTTTTTGAATATATTAAAATTAATAGTTAAAAAATATATAATTTTTTTAAATTTTATATTGTATAAATTGATTATATATATATATATATATATACTCATATTTTCCTCGTGATACATAACATTTACCCAGCAATGATTAATGAAAATTTAATGCCCCTGCCCATTCTTCTCTAATCCACATCCGATCACTCCTCCCTTTGTCTCCGGCCACCACTTCCCATGCATTAAATTATTGTAACCCTCGTGATATTTTTTGTCTCTCTTATTGGCCAGTTCCCTGCTATAACTTTTCCAGCCGGGGATTAATCAGGTCTATATTAATTAATAATAATATCATTGTCATGCATCTTTAAGTGAATTTGTCACGAATTTAGTTTTCTTCGTTTCTTTTCTTATTTAATTTTATCCACCTGAAAGAAAAACAGTAGTTATATAATTCTTTTATATATATAAACATTTGTCGACTACTCTTTGATTAAATAATAAGAGATAGTCTTTTTTTTTTTCATATGTAAATCACTTCTATCATATTAGAACTTGAATTTTTAAATTTTGATTATAAAAATTTTTCTTTGAATGTTGAAAAAAAAATCATTATTTGGCAAAAGTTTGTCGAAAATTTGTTGCGAGACTTTCTTGTGGATTTTTTTGCTTGGTACGTAGAAGTTGAGAATTATATATTTTTTTCCATAGAATTGTAATTTTCTTATGTATGTATGATTTTGGAATATTTTTTGGAATTAAAACGCTCTTAATAACATAATCATTGGTATTATTACATAATGAAAATGTGTAATTTAAGTATTTAATTAGAAGAACACGATGAATTTTAAACCCTATTAAACCTAATATGCATATACTTCCAAATCTTTATTCGGTTCCTTTTTTCCCAAATTGCAATCCTTTTGTCACGTAACCATACTTTAATAGAAGTCACTCAAATTTTGTGGGTCGGGCAGTATAGGAGGCTGAATAGGGACTGTACGTTTTCATTTTCCACGTCTCGTTGGAAAGATGGCATTAAGCTTTCTATCTTCTTCTTCGCCTTATTTAACCTCTAACATCTTCAATTCTAACTATTAGATAAAATCGGTCCTTAAAAGACAAAAACAAACCAACTATTAAGGGCTTTGTACTGGTATTAGAGTACAATTTGGGTCCTTCCATAGACCTATAAGACGAACATTGGGGGAAGGGGGCAATTTTCATTAATGTGATGTTTCATATCATGAGGATGTTAAAATCATTCGAATTTACCAAACTGAAATATTAAAATTGAGACAAATATCAAGCGACAATTTTTTAAGCCATCAATATCTTGTGCATTCAATATTATAATAAATCTTATATCGAATATTTTTAATAACATCTGCTTTGACAATAACATTTCGATCTTTAGCCATGAACAAAATGGGATTGTTACCTTAAATCTCTGCTCTTGGTACCAGTTGTAGTATTTTGCTATAGTACTGATTTGGTACAATATTTCCCTCTCCTAATGCTACAATAACACTAATATCACTCTTTTATTTATATGAACAAATAACAAATACAATAGGTGTATTTTCACCAAGCTAACTGAGTTGGGGTCCCCCATCTAATCATTTTCTATGCGAGGAAAAAAAATCCTCCGATGTTGCAAAATTGTAGCACTCAAGCTGAAAGATGATGGCATTAATTATTGGCAGTGATGGAATAAGGATGGCGATCGAAGATGGCTAATGGTACTATATATATATATCCCATTGGAGTTTAGTGTATAGCCTGTCTTAGTTTTTGGATACGGTCCTATACAAAGATTCAATTTTAGATCCTGTCGAAGGGCCACATCAGATAAAGAAGGATGAAAATGATGCCTAATGAGGCATCCTTTTCTTCAAACTTTCTATTGAAATGTAAGCCACAGATATTGGAACTCAAAATCAAGTGGGGAAAGATTGGTTTCTCTCTCTCTCTCTCTCTCTCTCTCTCTTCCTTTTGTTGTTTCTTGATGAAAAGTTAATGAAATGAGCTGAAGTATCAAGAAATTTAAAGAAAATTTTGGTTTGTTTTATTTTTGTAGTTTGTTCCTTTTATTGTCCCTTCAATTAATTAATTAATTAATTACTTCTCTCTATTGGGGAGCAAGTGAAAGTTAGTTGCCTTAATTATAATTAAACAGCATTGTACATGTTTTCAGATTGTCATGTTTCGGTATAGCAGATCTCTTACATGAAGATTTTACCCTTGGAACATCCTTGGCTTACGTAAGAGATAGGATTATTAGAGGCAAAAATGGTGACAGCCAACAGCTAGATAGGTTATAGTGCAGCAGAGAAGTTAGCCTTTCGTTGTTTTGCCTTTTTCTTGGAGCAATCTCATGTCATTTCATGCAAGTTGTTGTCAATTTGTCAGGCAGGCACACCATGTTCAGGTCATTCCAAAACCAAGTCCATCATATATGGTTACCTGCTTGAAAGACTTTTCCCAGGGGAAGGGTAATGGGGCCGCCGTGCCATTAGGTAGCTAGGCTCAATGACAGCTTGCTATTGGGTGGCATCGCTCGATCTACACCAAGTTCGAGCAACTTGCAAAACTTGCTACATATTTATGAATAAAATTTGATTAATTCTTAGTCACTAGGGATTTCATTTTGTACAGAAGTTTCTACTTTTGTTGAAGCATTTCAAATTAAAGATCAGAGAGGAAGGACGTCGACTATCTATTTCTGCCTTCGAATCGACTTCCTCGAAAATTATTGGGCGCAACCCACTTGTAAAAAGAAGTGACATTTCACTGATCAGTGAGGCATTCTCACGACTCACTTTATTTGCCTTCTGACACTGACAATGCACCAAGTGGCTTACTAATATGGGGACAGTTGTACCATCTCGTGAAATGACACTTGGAGTGCTCAATAATGCATGGCTCATGATTTGAGTTGTATGTCTTTCTGCACCATTGATATTAATCACCAAAATGAAAGAACAAATTATGGATATATAATGTTGATCAAATATTGCTTCACAGTTCTCATATAAGAAGAAAAATATCAGGGACGAGAAACGTCTTTTCTTTTGACATTATTCCAAAAGTTTTTGTTATAGCAAAGCAATGATACTTTTCAATGTTGGATTTTGGTTAGCACTAGATGAGTCCCTTTGATATTTCTTAAAAAAAAACAAAATCCCGATGCACAGAATTCTTTGCTTTACGAGGGTTGGAATGAGAGTTCATAATATGCGACATTTTTTTTACATTTTTTCAAAGAAACAATTTCCAAGACTCCCTTTGATATTTCTTATTAAAATTAATATCTGTTGAGAGTGGATTATTTATTGCCCATAATCGATGAAAGCTCAGGATGGCGAATGTTATTGGTACACGACGAGTGTGTGGAGTTTCAATGTTTGTTTAAATCCCATATATAAAACGTGACCGTGTTGGCCAATTTTATTGCCAGGAACTCGGTTTCTGCTTTAATTTTGCTGATTTAATCATCGATCGGCTGCTAGGGCATAATCAAAAGAGCACATTAATTTATTATAGTAAGGATTAGTTGATGCCATAATGACACCATTTGTTTAAAATTAGTAGTATCTATAATAGCTAAAGTTGATCATTAACATTGGTGGAAAGTTTGGAGGAGTAAAGTTATGTATAAATATGACTTTATAGCTCCAATAAAACATGAGAATTAGGTTCTTTGATGAATGCTTTTGAGCTTCTAATTCAGTTCTAGTCATCCATAATGTTCCATTGATAGATATAAATCAAAGGTTTATTGCTAATATGAGAAACTAGCTAGTTAGATTCCGAGATCCTTGAGTGCATAGATATATAAATGAGGATAAATTTATGTAATTCAAATTGCTCGTGCTAATAATTTGTTAATGAAATATTAAATTTTTAATTTCAATAATTAAAATTCAATCTATCAAAGTTTCAAATACCAAAAAAAAAAAATAATTTCTCAAACTAGCTAATGGCTAGATCACATGCCTTAGTACTAATTTGGTAGCCATTAGTCCTAAAATTGAAGTTGGGTGCATGCCATAATTTTCTGTCTGCTGCAAGCACATGAAAATGTCGAAATTTTAATGTTTTTTTTTTTTTTTTTATATATAGAGGATGGTGGATACAAAATTAACTTTATGAATGCAAAAAATAAAAAAAATGTTCAAACAAAAAAATCTTTATCATTAATGAAAATATCTGAATTATGTATAGAGTATATATCAGTGTATAACTAAAAAGTTTTATATTTTTTTTAATCATTGATTTTAATAAATTGAAGGGATTAGAGAAACAAACAAAAAAGAGAAAAGATGTGCTTAGTTTTATCTCTCGAATATATTGAAATTAATTATTAAAAAAATATAAAAAGATTTTTTTTTATATAAACAAATTAAGGAATTCTACTACATCATAGATAATACTAATTATTGACCTTAATTAGATTAGTTTGATTAATATTATTATTTCTTTCTTTTCTCCAAATGGTGTGGCAGGTAAGATTAAGCAAATCAAAATGTAGGTAAATGGTAATTTGAAATTGACTAATTGTTCTTAATCCATTTCTCACTCCATATATATATGGTTTAATTATTAAAATTTTCAAAAGTTCCAATGCTCACTAGTGTATAATGTATGGGAATTGGGATGCAAATCATGCGGTCCTCCCTTTTTTTGTCCATTTCTTTATTCAAAACTTTATGGTATATAAATATAAAATTATAATAATAATATAATATATATGGTAACCTAAAAGAAAGAAGAAAAACCAGTTTAATAATTAAACGATTCCACAACCCATCTGATTGACCAGAAATAAACTACCAACTGCCATACCCACCAATTCTATATCATCCATTTTACAAGCTCTCAAATGCCATAAAATTAATTATCTTGTTCTTCTATGTTAGACAAATGGCTTAATTAACTAATTAATTAAAGATGGGCTCTTTGATTTTTTTTTTTTAAAGAAAAGAAACTGAGATAGAAAGAGGGAATAAATTCTAAAAGTGGGTGAGAGGGGTCCTCCATTTTCTCGTTATTTCTTGGTAGCCTCTTGCTTTTTATGTGCAATTGTGCATGCACTGGTACAAAGAGGGTCAAACTTTTATAGAAAATTATGGATCAAGGGAATTATATATGTGAAAAGAAAACCATGAATTAGGTATAAAAGTGTTGTTTTTAACATGGGAAAAATGAAAAGCCAAGCCAATATTATTTGAAGACATGAATATAGTCAAAGGTAGGTTGAGAAAAAGAAAGAGATCCATCATGGGATTTGAGTTTGGTAGCACATGGTCTACATAGAATAAGGGGGAGAATGTGAGGTGGTTGGATTCTTCATCTCCAAGCATAGCAACTCCCACTAATGGACAGTACTCAAAACAAAAAAAAAAAAAAAAAAAAAACCAAATACTTAATTAGTTTTTCATGATTTAGGGTGAATCTAATGTCAGGATATATGTGTTCGAAAGAACCACGCAATATTGGAACTAAGAGTTTTGGACGTTATTCCTTAAAATTTGTTATGTTCCATGTTTCTTCAAATTCTGCTTTTTTGGTTAAGTATCCAAGAGAGATTTGATTGTCGATCGACCTGGTACATGAACCAGAACATTTGGTCGTCTATATAGTTCTAATTGCAATGGGAAATATATCTTAGACCAGTGATGATTTGCCTTTTTATATATAAAACGGATCATCCTCCAATATTTGAAGAAGTAGCTAGGTCAGTGGAAAGTAGATATATCATATATGTTAATTTTTTTTTTGCTAATTCAAAAAACTTTTATTAGGGAATTAAAGCATGGTATAATGCCATGATACACCAGAATGTAAGTCATCACCATCATAACCAATTAAAGACAATCAGAACCAGATAGACATAAAAAAAAAATTCCCATACCCGTACAAAAGTTGACCTCCTACCATGAGGCAATAAACACTTCTTTTTTATATGCTTCTTTAATAGCCCAAGCTTCTGCCATGCCATAATCATTGAAATCTGCAGTTTTTGAAGTTTATTTCCCTGTTTATATCATATGACTGAAAAATTCCTTGAAAAGCATATTTTGAATGCAATGTAACCCAGAGAAACCCCAATGTGATGAAAAGCTGCTATAATCTCCAACTAAATACGTTGTGATTAAAACTATGTAAATTTGTCAAACATCCTCATTAATAGCCCTTCATAACTTCGAAGAAACTCCTCAATAATTACCAAAATTAATTCTCATAACGTTATAAAAGGGGCAAGTATTAACGTTGCATGTACCCCGTGCTGCCATGCATCAAAACCTGGCATAATTTTCAGGAGAAAATTATGTGATAGTTTTATGCTCTTTCTCCGTAGAAAAAGAATGCCTATATATCGACATTGCCATGTTATTAGATTCATCCAAACTCATGACGAGAGCCTACCTGCAGGAACAGCCAAGTTGCACCCCTGCAGGTAGATCAAATCCACGTTAAAAGAGCTTACATGGCAGCATTCCTTAGCCACCAGACATTCAAAAACGACTGAAAGTTCAACTAAAAACTTTTCTGCCCTTTGTCACAACTCATAGCTCAAAAACTAATTGATCTAGTCAATCTCCACTTCTTAACAAACTCTAGCCACTACTTCCTCTATTTTCTCCATCCTCACGACATGCAATTTCCAACTTGTATCTGTAGGGCTTTCGCTATCAATCGTATTCTTGATAAAGCTTAATAGATTTTTCTTTTCTTTTGATACATATGTTATAATCGAAGTTCCTGTTCGATTCTTAAATTAGTTCATTATAGATGATAATCTTGTGAAAAAAAAGTCCAGCCATTAAGCCCTAGTGGTGGCAGTTCAGAAGAAACATGGAGATACTTGAGTCAACGCCTAATATTTTTAAGTGTCTTGTCTGTCTTACTATTGACTATTGATGCTACATTGATGCTACATATCTAAGTTGAAAATTTCCTAAACAAAACCTATGGCCAAAAAATTTTCCTTCTCCATTCAAATGTCAAATAGTTGTTTTGGTTCTCCTACTATCAATATCAAAAGTACTGCTTGTAGTTGTAGGCCTATGCATATAGCTTTATATGTAGGAATTCCATTAAATAAAAAATGTTCTTTTTTCTCCCCATATTATGAAATAAATATATATAAAAATCCAAAGTTTAGGTAGATGATTCATACACTCATCTTTAAAATTTGAAGTTTAAATTCCAACATTTATAATTTCTTTCTTTATCTCTAAATTAGGATATCCTTTGTAAAAACAAACTGAATATAAGAAGAATAACAATCCAATAATAACAACTTTCCCATAGCATTACTCACTGAAAAATCTTGCCCCGGCCCTGTTACAAAGTTTTTTTTTTTTTTGTACTATTTATATTTAAAAGAAAATTGAAGTCTAATTCGAATTAATATTATCTAATCTTTAACAATGAATAAGCATATTAAGAAATCGGATTAAACATGTCTAATATTTGAGACCAATATCTTTAAAAAACTCAATAATGGCCCAAACACAATAGGACCAAAAGGTATCACATGATGCTAATGCCATGGAGGTACTTACCCTATATGGAGATAAATGAGAAAAGGAATATGCCACTGCCATGATCTGGTGCATGGTTCATTGCAAGTGCCTAAACTTATGTCTTTTCAAGAGATGATATATAACATAAATTCATGACAAATGCTCCTACGCATCAAAATTAATGTGGGGGTCATCATCAAAGTTCATTGATCAGAAAAAAAAAAGTCAAAAATGTCTTTAAATTGTAACTATGAAGAGTGCAAATATAATTTTCTATCATGTTTGGTGAACTTGCACTTGCCAATCCCCCTTTTCCTCAACCAAATTTCAGGTTTTTTTTTTTTTTTTTGTGCCTTCATGCAAATAAATTTTGGATATGGTAACTTAACAAACCCCACCCCCCCACCCCAAAAAAAAAAATCTTGTTGATTTTTAGAAATCAACTTGAATTAATTTGATGGCATGTCACATAGGCTAGAATATTATGTTCCAAGCTTCAACTGTTGTTAATATGGGTTCGGCCTATATAACTTTAGATCCACACTTGGCTTGAATTTGGGTTAGGGGTAAAATTCTAGGCCCAACTATTGGCCTGTTTTTATCGGATTAGCAGCCCAAATAACTTGAAAGATGCCTATTTCTCCACCAATCTAAAAATTGAATGGCCTCATGGGCCATGGCTCTCAAAGAAAAAGTAGAAGAAAAATAACTTCTTGTTGCTCAGTATCCAGTGGTTTTAGGCTTCCAGCTTTGTTTCTCATCGTTTCGTCCTTCTCTCAACAGCTCTGTAGAACTGTGTATGTCATTTCCTTCAAAATAAGGAATACCCATGTCGTTTCTTGAAGCGTTTTCCCCTGTTAAGGAGCTTTATTTCGTTGTTCCAACGGTTTTAATAGTTATTTTCTTTATCTTTTTGGTGAACATGAGAGTATTGAGACATCTTTGATATTCTTTTCTTGGGTAGTTTTTTTTTTTTTTTTAGTTTCTTTGAATTTTCATTCGTAAAAATTATGTGTTGTTGTATCTTTAAATGGGACTTTAGCATACAAGCTGCAAGAATTCTAATTGTCTACTTGTGAAAAAATTTTAGTGCTTTCCAGGAGAGTGAAGAGAAAAAAGGGATTTTGAGTTTCCATTATTCCTCATAGTGACACATTACATTAGCTTATGTTTGATACGAAATCATCTATGTATTGAAGCTATGATAAAACTAAACTGCACCCTTCTTATTCCAACCTCATTTGAGACAAAACCAACAATTATTAATCACATAAGGGGAAAAAAAATACATTTTTCCCATTTATCTGATTGTGAAAGCCCTATGTCTTGTAGCAAGGTAGTGAACAATGGGATATGATTTGTTGAGGTATTGAAGATAGTGCTGAATGTCTTTCTAGATATTTGATGTCTGGTAATAAGCTATTGGCATATTTATGATCTACTGGTTGGTGCCCTCGCATCAGAATGCAAGTAAGTTTTGAGTTAGTTTTTGGGTAAGTGCGGGTATATTCTTGTCCAAAGTTCCAAATCTTGCTTTATCTTTGGCAATACGTACTTTTGATAATCGACAGGTATCAGCTATGATCAATTGTCAATTCATCTTTTAGTGGGACTTCTGATGCCTAGGCCATCCTTATTATGGTAAGTAAGTTACAGTTGGTATCTAAATCTAATTTTGTTAAACTAATCAAATTCTGTAAAAGCAATTTAACTTCCAATCTTAAATAAATATCTTCAAAATCTGCTTTGCCCATTTTGCTTTATTGTTTATATAGTTTTACCTTTAGTTCCTTCCAAACCCCTCATCTTGTTGTGCATTTTCTTCATTGTTTTCCTATTATTTGTAGCTGATCCAGATTAGTTGTGGCTGCTGGTTACAGGGGTTCCAATGCTAGATAATTATTGGATGTTCTAGGGCTAGGGACACATGTTCGTACCCTGTGGCAAATGCGGAGAATTTTGTGAAAATTTTAAATTGAAAGCGCTGCAAATTTTACATTGTAGGGTCAATTGGATGGGGAGAGGAGAAAAAAGCTGATCTGATGGTGGATTGCATTAAATATGATATCAACAACCATTTAAATGAGACAGACTATAGAGTTATAGTTATTGAAGGACTGTTGATAGCTAACAGAGGGGTGGGGGTCAATGAATTAATGTCTAGTGGTTTACAATTAGGATTCCTCTCCTTCAGGCATGTCTGACTAGCTTCTTGGAGAAACAACACCCTTTTAACCAGATGTTGCCTCACCTTATAGTGATTTGCACAGCAAGATGTCTTCCAAATACAAATAAAGCATAGGTTACTTATTATAACTTCTGTTTGAATTTTGAAGTAGTTTAATTATGTATAGTCCACTATGGATTATAATATCTCTGATGCAATTAATACCCAACAGAAATACATATTTACTCTTTTGAGTAAAACATCCTTTACACTCTTTCAATTTATTTGTCACATTTATAGATGTCTCTAAGTGGTTACTTCACAAACCGAGAAAACTTTTTAATGTTCAAGTGAATATTCTTGTTTGCTTCCTGGCATTTATATGTTGCTATTATACCCCATGATTCATTCAATTTTAGCATCCATTTGAGAAAGAGATATGTCAATCTTGATACAAGAATATCAAATAAACATAAAATTTACCTATGAAAGAAGCAGATAGATTCCTTGTTTTAGGCTTGACTGGTGTTAACTGAAATCTTGTTAAAAAAGTTTGCACCTGGGATGTTCTCCAGTACAACTCTGGACCTCTGAGGTAAGATAATGTGTATTAAGAAGAATAGCAGATTCTGCATTTGTTGCAGAACAAGGACCTTCATAAACTGGAAAATTTTTTTACAAAAATTATAAGAATCTTATTTAGGCAATCTTGACCTTAAGGAGTTGATTGTTGTGCTTGTCATATGGCTTCTCTTGGATGCATTCTCATGGAGTGGTTGCTGTTCGCTTTCTTCAGGAAAAGCAATTTACTTTAAGGAAAGAGTGTAAAAATGGAAAGAAGAAATTCAAATCTATTAAGTTTTATGTGCTAGTGCACTCTTGGCCTCTCTCTCTTGAATGGCTCACGATCTAGAGGAATCATTGCAGCACCTGGGAACAATCATTTAATAATAATAGATATAGCTTTGCCTTATGTATTTACTGGATTTTATGATTTAAATCCATTAAGAGTTCAATGTTTGTGACATTTCTTTGCTATTCTCTGCCCAATACATGCACCTTTTTGAGACTTAAATTGATCATCAAATCACTAGTCTAAATTTTGCGCATTCTAGAGTGGACAATATTGAAGCAGTTGGGTATGGTTAGATCATCAATATGTAGCAATCATGACCTATGCTTTGCTTTCCTGTAATTTAGTAATGCCGGATACATCGAATACCTTGAATGACATTGGCTGTTTAGTAGGACATTCTAAATATCAAGAAAAATTTAAGAAAAACTGAACATGAGCATGTATCTGACACTGATATTAAGTCTGGGCAACATAGATATGACATTGAGAGCAGACCTTGGATGCACCTGCTTTCCTTTTATGTTTTACTCCATGTTCCAAAATTACCCTTTAACTGACACTCAAAAATTACGTGCAAGATTGTTTCATAACTTTGTGATAGTTGTTGTCCTTTCTACGTGCTCTTGACATTTGTTTTGCAAGATTTGATACTTTGCATGGCCATTTATGACTATTCTAAATGTGGGTTATTGTGGACGAGGCCGCTTTAAAGCTGTTTCAGCATGGATCTTTCCTATGACTACCTTTTTTTTCCCATTTATACTTTCTCTGGATTCTTTTCTTAAATGGCTTTTATTATAGTTGTCGATTACCTTAATTGGGGTTAGCCACTATGACCTATTTCTTTGCCGTGAAAGGGCTATAAATTGGGGTTAGAAACAGCGCATTCCTCCACATCACGAGGTTTCCTTTAGCTTTCTAGTTTCTATCTCTTCTTGAAAGGAGCTGAATTGTGCTTTCGTTTACTAGTTTCTACCATGAATTTCCTTTTGGCTAGAGAAGATGCCGAGAAGCATGCAGGTATTAGATCATGCTTCTATTGCAACAAAGTATTCAACAACTATCGAGCTCTAGGTGGCCACCTTAGGATTCATCAGGAGGATAAGACATTGAGGACGTTGAATTATCCTGGTCGTTCCTGTAATTCCATGGATATTACTAGGAACCCTCATGCACCCCTACCAAACAGCCCACAGAACTCCTTGGTAGGTGGAAACAACCTAACTCCATTCACTAGAGTATCTCCTGCATTGGACTTCTCTTGGATGTTCTGCTCAAATGAAACAAACCAGGCAAGTAGGAGCAAATTCACTGGCAACAATCCTGGATTGGCCCAAACTCAGATTATCATGTATCCAGACTTCTCATATGGCTGTGGTAATGGTGCAACTTATCACCATAACATTTTGGCTTCAAAAGCCTTTGCTCCAGTTGGTGTGAACGCAGCCATGTCTTCTGCTGCATTTCCTTCATCTGGTAGTCTTGTTGCCGCTGGCTTTCCTATAGATTCTTCATTATATTTGGGCTCAAATGGAGTTTGTCAGTTTAATACTGATGAATTTCAAATTAGCAAGGATGGTTTGCCACCATCCTCTGGAGATGCCTTGCAGAGCATTCTTGGTAAGTTTCCAAATCCTATCTTTGCTATAACTAACCCTGACCTTGGTTTTGGGTTATATCAGTTTTTGGTTATATCTATTGCTGTTTGTGCCTTTTCTCCAGGTCCTCCCCGATGCTCAAGCCTGGATAAAGTTCGTCAATATGACAGGAGAAGTTTGTTGATTTGCGAAGAAGGTAAAAGGTCTTTCTTAGTTGATGAATCAGGGAATGCTGACATAATGAATGCATCAAAAAAGCCTAAGATTGCCCCCAATGCACATGTGGAACCGGAGGATCCTCAGAAAAAAGAGCTGTCACTTTTTATGGATGTTGCTGATTCAGTTTCTGCATCAGAAACTTGTTTTGGCGCTGAAGAGGAAGGTCCCATAGATGTAGATTTGTCTCTGCATCTGTAGGCTTGTGTCTTTCTCTCTATACTAAATAAATAATAGTAGTAAAATAATAAAGGAATGGTCACTCTTGCCCTCCCCATCCCCCAGGAAAAAAAAAAAAAGGCAGCGAAGATGTAATATTGCTATGCACTGTTGAACTATTTACAAATTTCATATTCAGTTTGGTTAACTTTTATGAAGTCAGTTATTATGAAATTTCTTGTGGATTGTGGAGTTTGATTAATCATTTCCTTGCCTTACTAGATTTTGAACTTGAAAACTTCTACTATGATCTTATGATTGGTTTTATAGAATCATGGGAAACAATTGGAACTGGAAAAGCAAGGTTTGTTGGACTTAGTTCTGAATGTAGATGTTAGGAAACTAGTTTTATGCTGAATTTTAATATTTAGCATTATGAAACAAGGCTTACATTGAAGGCTTATATATTGGAATCTTTCTGTGTTCTTGGGCGAATGCTTCTGTACAGAGTGATTAGGTCAAGGTAATGGAAAAGATTAGATAGAGATGCTGTAAGTCTCTATGAAAATTTTCTTTGTATGCCTTGTTTGATGCTACTAAGCTTGTCTCCCCAAATCAGAGGCGAATCCAAAGAGGGCAGGCATCGGCCATGGCCCCTCCAAAATTTTTTTACCAAAATTTGTTTTACATATCGTGGTATATTAACTCAGCCTATTTAGCATCAGTATCAGCCTTCTCTTTTCCATTAATGTCACTGTTTGGCCCACTCTTTGCCTTATGTCTAGTTTTGTCCCTGCCCCAAATGTACCGCAAAATGTCATATGGAGCCATCTAGTGAAAGTTTGCTGCAGCATCTCGGTAGTAAAGTTTCAAATGTCATATGGTGCCATCTAATGAAGGTGTGCTGCAGCATATCAGTAGTAAAGTTTCAACCTGAACTGAACTTTTAATTGTAGTGCCTGTGAGTCTATTAAAGTAGCCTACAATCCCACTTGCAATTTAATGCTGAAACCAGGTTCTCGTAATCGTTTCTTTCAGTAGAGATTAGCCCATTTGGTGCTTCAATGCTGCACCGTAGGTGGGATTTAACAAAACTTTTGACTGATTTGGCTTTATGATTTTTGAATGATAAGTTTAATGGAACCTGGTTTTGTTCTCAAAATTTTCCATTGGTTTGCCTATTTACTTCCTACCTGCAAGCGCTGTTGCCATTGATTTGGCTTAATGATTTGAATGACAAGTTTAATGTTAAAATTTTATTATTTACACTTTATATCATCATTTTCGTTTTCGGATCATTTAATATGTTTGTTAAGATAATATTAATATATGCAAAACCAACCAATTAGGTTGAAAAGGATGGTTTGGCAGGCGGGTTGGCCGGTAGGATATAATTAAAGTTTATTGATCGAATTAAATTGAATTTGAATCGAATTTATATTTGATATTAATAATTTATATATTAATTTAAATTTAATTTGATTTAAAATTTTATGTTTTAATTTTTTTTTAAATTCAGTTTAACTTAGAAAAATTAAATTTTAAGTTTACTCATTAAATTTAATTTATATGATAACAAATTTTAAAAAATTGTAATTAAATTAAATTAAAAATAAAAATTATACATGTAAAAATTAAATTTAGTAAAATATATATAATTTTTATTTTTAATTTATATATATATGAATTAATTTATATATAATTCACATATATATAAAAATAAAATTTTATATATATGTGAATTTCGATAAGATTATATTGAATTTATGTTTTAAATTTTTTATTTAATATTCGATTTAAAATTTGAATGAATTTAAAAATTGTATCTAAATCTGTTTAATTGATTTTAATTTTTTATTCTAATTTTCCAAAAATATGAACGGATAATCCGACTATTAAATAACTATAATCATAGGTGTTTAAACTTTGAACCACATCCTTAGGATTTTTGTCACTATATGAAATGGAAATGCCTTTCTTTATCACATTCTAATCTAAAACCCCTTTTATCCTTATCTCCATGCAATGCTAGTCTTTCCCTTTATTCCCCAAAATGGATGCTGAAAATCCCAGCGCTAGGAACCTCTGTCTTTTTTGTTAATGGAACTCCTTTTATAGCTGAAAGAAAAATAAAAATAAAATAAAATAAAATAAAATAATATTCTTATTAAAAGTTTTGACCCCAGTTTTTTTTTTTTTAAATTAATTTTTCCTTTAGAACAAAAAATGATGCATCAATATTACATCAAATGTTTCTATTTTAAAGTATTTTCGTTAATGATTAAAAAAAAAATGAACATTGGAATATTTATATGTAGCCCCACAACTTGTAACTTGCAAACAAAATGAAATACTTGTAATAATTGGGGTTGGATTTTTGCATAATTACTAGAAAAAGAGGTCATTGGTTATTTTCAGATGCTAGATTATCAACATATTTTGCTTCTTCAATAAAATAAATGGCTTAATAAAATAAAAGAAATCTAAAGCTTTTTTTTTTAAATTTCTTTATCAAAAGCAAAAATCGAGTACTAGCATGATATGAACTACTTGCAAGGATGATTATAATACAAAAAAAAAAAAAAAAACATTTTCCCTTGAAAGAAAATTATAATTATACCTATAAAGGTTAATTCAATGATCATTATAAAAAACATTCTGATAATAAAAATTTAAATATACAAAAAAATTGTAAAAAATGGACAAAAAAAAGGCTCAGATAAAATATAATGACAATTTGTTTTATGCTTTTGATTTCATTTTCTTTATTCATATTTTTTATGTCCCAAAATTTTGTTTTTGTAACATTTAAAATTTCTATTTTTTATGATTTTTTAATTTTTGATATTAAAAATTATGTAATTTTATAAAAAAAAATAATTTAATATTAAATTTATTAAAATCAAGTTTTTCTTAAATTTCATAAAAATCAATACTACCTAAATAATTTGAGAGGAAAGGGATATATCATATCAAAAATTTAATAATGATTATCATGACATGACCAATATCAAACTTTCCCAGAAAAAAAAAAAAGAAAAGAAATAGACAATTCATATAAAAAATATCATGCAACCCTAAGGAGAATTATTTAACACTGTGGAGTTGTATTTAAAATCTAAAGATTTCTTTTTCTTCAAAAAATTTTTTCCTTTTAAAGAATCAAACTTGTTAAACAGATTGTCATTGCTCTGCGATGGTCTGTTTCTTTGATTGCATTGTCAAGTTATTAATTCTACATGTTGCTTTTCTTTTTTCGGCCATTAATATATTATTGCTTTAACATATTCTGATTTTTTGCTCTTAGTTTTATTTTTTTATTTTAAAAAAATCCAAACCAACGCTTTAAACAGTAACTAATCACATACATTTGTCAATGAGTTTGGCAGTTCACCAGTTCGGGTTTGGCAGTTCGGATTTGAACTGTGAACTATTATATTATCTATGATCTTCCTTTCTTTTTTTTAATGATCGTCCTTTCTAACCTAGGATGCTGGACGAACAATTTAGTTCTAAATTCCAACACCCGCAGTTAAAAGCGCGTGTCCAGCAGGTTGCAAATCTTTTACCTATCTTGACCCATGCTGGAATTATTTATTTAGCGCGTGGATTTAATGGGCCTAGACAAAATCATCATCATTCATCAACCTTTTTCTTTTTTAAAATAATAATCGAATACCTTTGATGTTAAGGAAAATCAAAATGCTGGAATTGTCCTTGGAAGGGACCTTTTTCATGCTAAAACCAGCTTTAAATCTCATAAAAAAGTCACCATCTTTCATAGCAATTGTTCAAGAAAAATCCTTCTATGTAAGTCTTAGATGTCAGTTTTTCATCTCTTTTCTTCTTCTTTATGCTATCTGGGTTCGTTTTGAAGTTATTTGGGATAACATATTTTCTGGGTTTTGCCTGTTCTCTGAATTATCAATCTCTGCGGGCCATAAATACTTCATTTCTATGAAATATGTTACTGGGTTTTTATGGGTTTTTAGTTTTCTTATTGTATAGTAGAAAAAGTTTAGATTTTTTGGGGCTTTATTCAAGATACTGCCATATAGACTATTAATTTTTGTTTTCACTTTTGTTTTTTCTGCATATGAAGTGTTATTTTCTTTGTCTCTGCCTTGGCATGATATTTGATAGCTTTAGATTCCTCTGGTTGGTATCTTGATAGGCACAGTGGTATATATCAAGAGAAAGAGTTGAAGTTGTTCTCTTTGACGCATAGGAATTTGAGTGTGGATCATTCAGGAAGGGATTTATCGGTGAACTATAATAAAGTCTTGTAAGGATTTTGTGTAAAGGGGAAAACATGTTTTTCTTTTAGGATGACTGTAAATTTCGGTGAAAAGAATTCTTCGTTTGCTCTGTGAGTGTGAAAGAACAAGCACCAACTTGGAATAGCTTCTGTGAAGTTCTTATTGAGATTTGGATGTTTTGAGTTGTTCAATTCATAAGTAAATCCACTTGATGACAAAGAACAGCAGGGAATTTCAAGCTTAAACAAGGTCCTTTGGGTGGTCTTCAAGGATATTAGATTGTTATGTTTTGAGAGAAAGATGCAAAGGGTTCGATTTTCATCCCAACAGGCACCCGTGCATAAGCTAGGGGATTCGCAGATGACATTATCCCCAAAATTTAGATTATCTGTGATGCAATCTTCATTGTTGAATCCTTCATCAGAGTTTGAGTTGCCTCTTCAAGGAGAACCTCTTATTCCAGGCCTTCCTGATGATGTGGCACTTAATTGTCTCCTTCGGCTTCCAGTTGAGAGCCATGCAGCTTGCAAAGCTGTATGCAAGGGATGGCATCTTCTGCTTGGTAGCAAAGAGTGGTTTTTCACTCGAAGGAAGGAACTAGGTTTCAAAGACCCTTGGCTCTTTGTGTTTGCCTTCCACAAATGCACCGGGAAAATTCAATGGCATGTTCTTGACGTTACCCTTTTCTCATGGCATACCATCCCAGCGATGCCATGCAAAGACAAAGTTTGTCCCCATGGTTTTAGGTGTGTTTCACTTCCTCGTGAGGGTGCTCTCTTTGTTTGTGGGGGTATGGTTTCTGATGTGGATTGCCCCCTTGACTTGGTGTTGAAGTATGAGATTCAGAAAAACCGTTGGACTGTGATGAATAAGATGAATACTGCTAGGTCATTTTTTGCTAGTGTAGTGATTAATGGTATGATATATGTTGCTGGGGGAAACAGTGGAGATCTTTTTGAGCTTGACTCAGCAGAGGTTTTCGATCCTGCAAAGGGGAGTTGGCACTCAATTGCAAGCATGGGGACAAATATGGCATCTTACGATTCTGCAGTTCTCAATGGAAAGCTTCTTGTGACAGAAGGCTGGTTGTGGCCATTCTTTGTCTCTCCTAGGGGTCAGGTTTATGACCCAAGTACCAATAATTGGGAGATTATGGCTGTGGGATTGAGGGAAGGCTGGACTGGCTCAAGTGTGGTAGTCTATGGGCACTTATTTGTGGTTTCCGAGCTCGAAAGAATGAAGCTTAAGGTTTATGATCCAGACAGTGATTCCTGGGAAACAATAGAAGGTCCCCCATTACCAGAGCAGATATGCAAACCTTTTGCTGTCAATGCATACGATAACAGAATATATGTTGTGGGTCGGAACCTTCATGTGGCTGTGGGCTATATCTCAACCCTGAATCAAACAGGCAACTCTGAGAAGAAGTGGAGCTTCGGTGTTCGGTGGCATGTTATTGATGCCCCAGAACATTTATCTGACTTGACACCCTCAAGTTGTCAGGTTCTGTTCGGTTAGCTTCTGAAACATCATATTTTGTGCCTTGTATGTTGTTTAATAAATTGTAATTATACAAAATTACGAAGGCTGTAGGGTTGGAATGACTTTGTTATTGTAACAAATGTATTATCCATACTTTTGTTGTTCTTCTGTTATTTCTCAGTAATTGCTCAATCCATATGTTTTACTAGCTCGATCTCACTCAAATTTCCTGTTGTCCCTGTATGAAATATTGTCTATAACATAGTGGATCTCGTAGGAATTTTTTAGTAGTATATCCCGACTACCTCTTTTAACACTTCTTGAAATGAAAATCATTACCATTTTTGGACAGGATTTACCTGAAGGAATCTTGTTAGTAATAGTAAGTGAAAAACGTAGTTTGAAAGTGTATGAATTACTCTTCTTTCCCCTTCGTATTGGCCAGCTCACCATATTTCCTTTTCAAGAGGCTGATGCTATGGACCGTTGTTATATTTGCTGATATTTGGGTAATTGCCTAATTGGATTTGGGTGAGCCATTGAAATATTAATGGGCTTCTGATGATGACAGCAGTTGAAACTAACGAAAAAGATGACATAGTTAATTTTCAGCTTGATTGCTTCACTAAGAATCAAACCAAAAAATTAATAGAGTTTTGGGTTTTAAGAAATCACAAATAATAAAATTATGGTAGCAAAGATTGGGCCTGAAAAGACTGAAACACGATTGGTAAAGAAAAGTCAACTTCTCTGAGTTGCGACTTGCGACAGAGAATGGCAGCCATAACAAGTGCACTGATAGCAATGGCGGGAGTGGTATTAGGATGGATAGCAGTCGAGATCGCCTGCAAGCCTTGCCTGGATAAAGGCCGCGAAGCCATAGACAGATCTCCTAACCCTGATTACGACCCCGACGACGATAACAACAACGACATCCGAGCCCCTTTCAACCCAAGCCCAGGTCTCGAATCTCAGCCTGATAATGGTACTTCTTCATCCACTTCAATCGAAGCCGTTTGTTGATCGGTACAAGAAGTTTTCTTATTCATTGTTTCCTTTTCTGAAAAAGAGTGGGGTGTGTTGTTAACTTGTTTATTCTTGTTGATGTCTTAAGATTGTTTTCGCTTGAATGGATTCGGTTTGGTTTTGGTTTTGATTGACAGATACAAGTTCAACCATCACTTCGAGAGTGAAGTTTGGTTTTGGTTAAAATTTATTTATAGTACTGTCAGAACAATGTCGGTTGTCAGTCGGCATCATGGAAACGGAGAGTGGTTTGGTTAGTTTTGATCCAATCAAATAAAAGAAAAACGTCTCGGGTTTATTCCAATCGATACAAGAATTCACTTAATTTTACCGATGGATCTTTCAAAAAGATAAAAAGGACTGCTTCTATTGTTTATGGAGATTGGTTTTAAGTGTTCATGGGTCATATTGAATCGAATAAGTTTATATTTAAATTCATATTTAATGTCAATATTAATAATTTATATATTTATTTAATTCAATTCAATTCAGAATTTAAAATCTCAATATTTTTTGAAATTCGATTTAAATTAAAAAATAAATTTTAAATTCATTCATTAAACTTAATTTATATAATAAAAATTAAAAAATATAATTAAATTTAATTTAATAAAATTATATATAAATTATATATATAATTATATAATTTAATGAAATTATATTTAATTCATATATATAAAAAATAAAAATAATAATTATATAAAATAATAATTAATTTAAATAAAATATATAAAATTTTTATTTTTAATTTATATATATTTATCTTTATATATATAAATAAATAATTTATATATACATATTTATATATATAAATTTCGATCGAATCAAATTTAAATTTCAAAATTTAAATGAACCTAAAATTTATATTCAAATCTATTTAACAAATTTAAATTTTTTATTCAAATCCTCTTAAAATTTCTCAAATTTTAGATGAGCCTTCGAACTTGAGTAGATAATCTGAATCTTAAACAAGTTTATTTTTATCGAACAAGAAACCCCTGAGCTTGGAGAAAATGTGAAGCTCATCCACACCCAACCCCAGCTTGTTGGGGGGTGATCTAATGCCCATGCCGCCTCACACTTGACAAAGAAAATAAAACAGAATTCTCAAAAAGGGGAAACACACGCATACAACCCAAGAAAAAAAATGCAGCTTAGCCTTATTTCAAGTAACTCGAATGTCAAGTCCGTAACAATAAGTATCAAAACAGAGGCTAAATATGCTTTTACAATTACAATCTCGATTGCAACAAAATAAATACAAGTTACTGTACACGGATCTGACAGGGGATTTCAGCTCCCGCCTCTTGGAGAAGACCAAAGTTTCCCGTGTCACTTGCAAGGAGATATCTATCAAAGGAAAGAAAAAAAAAGTGAACTATGCCAAGTAATTGTATATTTGTGGGTTGTTCTTGTCACGCTCCAGGTACTCCCTGTCGATGAGAGACTCAATTCTTTTCTTCAAATCAGCCGGTTTTATGGGAAACTTAAGCTGTTCAAAGAAAGAAACTTACTTTCAACATGAGTTTGTTGAAATGCTACTGTAAAACATATTATCCCTTTGATCCCGATCTAAAGAAGGTCAATTGCAGTGATTTAATCATTGTATACAAAGAGGAGTTTCACCCTTCTTCAAAAATATCAGAAGTATTCGGCATGACAACTCTTACTTGATCAGAATACAGCAGCAGCAACTTTCACTTTATTTATTTATTTATTATTTTTGGTTATGATTGTGAACATATGTTGTTGGGAACTCTTTAGACATCCGTTTTATGCAAACAATCAGACTCTGCCTACCTGTTGGAAGAGTTCAGTTATCAGAAGAGTGTGACTCAGAACTTTCCTCGTCTTCATTATCCGAACAATAGCAGCATCAACCTAGAGTAAATCAAGCAATAAAGCATATATTTGATTAAACTCCTTCATGTGAGATAGCTTTCTGTTTTTTTTTTTTTTTAGTGGATAGATAGAAAGAGAGAGAATGTGAGAGTGAAGCAAAGCTAAACCTGATATTGACGGTCTTGAAATACTCTTTCAGTAGTGCTTGTGTTCTCCTCCACTGTCTCTTTCATCTGGATAGCATTTACCTGCATTGTGAAAGGAGAAGTCAGCTGGATGCCTTATCATGTGAGTGGGAATAACTCAGAAGCAGATTCATGATAAAACGGCTCTATGGGAATTCGGTGCAATAGAATAGAGATAAGCATGACAGGGATTTAGTTTAAGCTTACAAAAAAATATCTACCCACCATAGCTTGAAATTCCAAATAGATTTACCTTTATACGATAGAGAGGAGCAGTAAATCCTTCATTGAAAATGAATGAATCATCATCCTCCACGTCCCTCCCTTTCGGCAACTGCAGCACACAAATTCAAAGATAGAAAGGAATAAAGAAAATGGAAGGAATAAAATGATAATGTCACCAACTTTACCAGCATATATAAGATATTAAAATATAATGCAATGGGCATACCTTTTGCAGGACTCGTACTTTCCCACATGCAAGGGACTGCAGGGTCCTTCTCAATTCTTTATCCTCTATGCCAGTGGAGTCCTTAATGTCTTGAAAGCTGAGCTTTTGGGCATCGTTGAACAACATCAGAACTACAGTCTAGAGGGTAAAAGACAACAAACACAGAAAACTGTTAGACATTGTCTGCTTGTAGAGAAAATTTAAAAAGAGAAGAAATCTTTCGAAAGGAGAAAAAAGTCATTGGTCCAAGAGACAAACCTGAAATAGGGAAACTGCCAGCTCCTTTTTACCTTTGGGAAAATCTGCTTTCAGCACACAATGACCTAATGAATTTTGCCACATTAGGCGCCTTCCACTGTACTTACTTAAGTAGAATTCCTTAAAGATGTCCTGTTAAATCAAGTAGACAAAAGATGTTTAGATAACTTTTAGATAAAAACTTCCTGGTTTCTATAACAGTGATCATTTCATCCCAAAGCCTTGCAACAAACCTGATAGACATTCAATTCATGAGGAAGCCTAACATCCATGGGTGGATATGTAGGCCAGTACCTGCGCAGCTCAACAACCAGAATAGAATTAAATACCTTGACAATAAACTAACTAATTATGCAGTTATGATTTAATTGAAATAATGGTGAAATATGATTTACCCGGTTGTTAAGACATGGACACTCATCTCAATTCCCGATGGAAGTTTTGTCCTGGCCTGCGATGACTGCTTGAATGATTCATTTATCTCCTTTGACAATTCGATATCCTGGATAAAATCACAAGAATTCACATTCGATATAATTAAGATCATATTGAAATTGGTCACACATCAACCAACATGCATGGATTAGTATGATCCATTTTTAAAATTGAAATAATCTTCCAAGTCGATCCTGGGAAAGAACAAGGATTCTTTGCCATAAAACCACATGCAGTAAGACCAATCATAGATCATGAGTTTTGCACTGTAAACATATTCCAGGCATAAGAATCCAGTCACATAGACTAAGTTTCAGTATCACACAAACTCCATAAATTTTGTAGATTGTTGGATCCTCCATTGACCAATACACAAGTAGGTAATCCAAGAAATAAGAGATGAATTTAACTTCTAGAATCCCTTTCTCTTCTCTTCTCACTCGATTCTATTGCATTAATGTTTATTAGTATGATCCACCCTCAAGGTGCTATAAATCTGATACATAATCATTAGTCCATTACATACTGTTTGCAAGGATTAATCATAATTAATCCAACTCAAACATTAGGAATGACACTTCTGGAGCCAATACCACCACCCATGGGGTAACATATTCTTAGTGGTTGTACGAGTTATTGAATTGCTCATCTTTACAGCACCCAAAAAGCACCAGTTCAACAGATTGATGATTATATATTGAATGCATTTCTTGGACAAATTTATATAAAAATGTTATAGAGGCAGACCTTAAACATTCCTTCAAGTTTGTTTGTAAACTGGCTACCACACTCGGTCTTCAGCTGCAGCATCATAACAATATTACAATTTAATACAAAATCTTTAGAACAAACCTCATTTGATGCAAAAGAAGAAGGTACTTACCTTAGAAATCATGGATTTCTCTGCGTCAATAGAAGCACTCTTTCCTAACAGCAGCCTTTTTGCAAGATCCTTCTTATAGAATGCTTCAAAGACATCCTTACCCTTAATTATCAATAAAATATCATTCACAGCCCTAGGATTAATTTGTGGGACAAAAAAAGCAAGAAATGCACAAAAAGAGAATAGTTATTCAAGCCAAAAGTAAATTTAATGATTTTTATTGCGAAAACATGAACTTACCTGGATGAACCTGAATAAAACCAAAACTTTATCAAGTGTACCCTCTAATTCCTCTTCTGAAGTACCCTTATTACCAGCACGAAGCTTTTCATCCAGAAACTTTGCGATCAGCTCAGCAGGTCGGTTCTATTAAACACAGCACAGAGTTGAACCATCAGTCAAGTGTGAAAATATGCTAATCTAAATTAGGAATAGTACTTCACTGATGTACAACTTAACAGTGAGAACGCAGTTTAAAAATAAAAATAGTCTCCCAGTACAGATGATAAAACATGCTCACTTGACGTAGGTTAATTAGATGTTCAAATGCATCCTTAATGGTGTTGCAAAATGCTTCATTCTTGGAAAAGCTTTCTTCCCATATTGAATCAAGCAAAGCCTTGAATTCTAACAAGGAAGGCACCATGTCCTTATCTTTCTCTTCATCCATCACAATGCCCTGCCCAGTTCTCCGAATATATGAGCTTAGGGCCTGCCTAAGTGATTCAAGAGCATTGACCCTTGAAAACAGTGAGTACATCCTCTGAATGTCCTCAATACGATGTCCATCCATCAGCATCACAAATCCCTGCAGAAATCAGCAAAACTATAAATATTAAAAAGATGCAAATCCAAGCAAGCATACAAAGTGCAAAGACTAATGGAAGATTCATATTCACACCTTATCAAGAATGGCAGGTATATGACGTTCAAGCAGCTGCCTCTCTGCTGTTACAATAAGTGGCTTTCTCGTAAGAGCATCCAGGTAGAGTAAGCATCTTTCATGTTCTTCATGTAACCTCATCTGCAAGAATACACCCAAAATCTTACAAAGATGAACCCACACAAAAATCTTAAGAGGTATAATCATGTATATTCCATATAAAAATGGAATAACATGATAGATTGACATTCTTATGAGATGGATAAAACATGTAGAATTCAAAATATAGAGCACCAGTCACTGCTAATTGAGAACAAAAAATATACAAAGCACCTCTACGTGCTTCAGGTAATCTGGAACATCAGATTGCTGCATGTATTTCATTCCCTCAGCTGCATAAAACTCGGATGTGCACTCCAGGAATGGCTTCTCAAAGCTTTCTGAGTAAATACCTAAAGCGGTAAACATCTTCAAAAGATGGTTAAGGAGTGTCCTGTCAACTGCTTCACCTAACCTGCATGATCATAAACAGAATGCTGTGGATTCCAAGATGCAAATATTAAAAACAATCAAAAGATGGGTATTGATCATCTAACATCATTCATGAACCTAGGTGGTGAAATTTACGTGATGCCAACTATAAGTAATGGGGAAAAATGTGTGAGAATTACAAGCAATAAAGCAACACAATAATGGATTCCCTAACAATTGCTGGATTATTTCCAAAATGTTTGGAAGTATAGATAATTAAAATGAGCTAGAAAGAATAAGATTGACAAGTAGGTTACAGTTACATTGATCAAACATCCTAATCGGCCCTTCAAGAAACTTCTTTCCACTATGGAAAATATTTCACCACATCTGCCCTCTAGCCTTTGCCAGGCAGCAAGAATCTTATGCCATTTAGACTGCTAAAATCATAGAAAGAGTAGTGAACTAGACAATTGAATAAGGACATTAAAACAACAATGTACGAGTATTCAAGTTCACCCATACCCAACATGTTGCAGGTTGACTTTTTCAATTTTTAAATCTCCACTTATACTTGCACAGAAAATTCAGTGTGACATCAAGTTGGTTTGAAGGCATCTAAAAGAAGTTACTCCCTAGTGTTGGTTTATATCTACTATACTGTTTCATCCAATCACATTATGATTTATGTACTAATGGCAAAGCCAATACATAACAACAAGGCAGCTTTCTTCAATATTTATATCTTTTCTGCCTTTGTTCATCGCTAGTATCATTTTACTCCTTAATGGTAGAGAGACCCTGCAAACATGACATGGACCAATGGTGCAACAAATTCTCCACAAAATCAAGAGGAGGATAGTTCATCCATAAGTTTTGCAACACTTATGATATGAAACAAAATCTATTACAACATCCATCTAAACAATTATGCATCTTTTGCATAGGTTAATACATTGGAACATACAAAAAAGACTAGAATACAAAAAATGTAAATTTCAAATTAAAATCATTAGAATTACCTCTCACTCTCAATCATTCTTAAAAGACCAGTGACAGTTTTGTGCTCAACTTCAGGAGCCAGAGAAAGATGCTTACGGAAGAGCTGCAAACCCATGTCCCACAATGAACGTACATTTGGGGTTTGTTTAACATATGTTCTGTCTAGATACAAGGCTATACCACGAATCATCAACATTTGATCACAAAGATCTTGCCAACATTTCTCAACAAGCGATAAGAAAACCACCAGATCTGGGCTTTGCCCAACCAAAGATCTTAGTGCTGCAGATATGTGTTCTTCACACTCTTTTTCAATTCGTTGATAAAGGCTTCCTCCCATCTTGTGAAGGCAAAGATTATTAACAGCCTGAAGGGAGCACACTTGATTATCAAGAGGCAATATTGCTCACATTGCAAAACGCTATCATAATCAAAATAGATTGAAAGAAGAAATATGTGGGGCTTACCTGATAAAGCTTCTCCAAGTCACAAGAATCTGGTTGCTTCAAAAATATAGCATTAATGGCTGACTTCAGCTTTGCCCATGTGTCCTCCTCAAAATTTGTGGGCAATGTTGGTTTCGCTATAATGAAACAAGAAGTTAAAGTTGCATCAGAAACTTTTATGAATATATGTTCTAAATATTTTTCATGTTAGCAAGTTCTTTAGTTTCCTACCATTAGTTCACATAAACAAAATAGTTTTGGAGATATAATCTGATTTGCAAATAGAAAAAAAAATGATTTCAACTCTTATTACTATTCTTTGCAAGTAAACTTACTAATAACGGGTCCAATCACCTGCTAACAAAAGGCCTATTTAGTTTTTAAGGGAGATGGATAACTGATATACAATGTGAGCAAGCATCATAGATGCTTATACAAAAATGGTCTACAAGAGGGTAGAAATGAACTTCTCAAAAAACCCGAGGGAGTTTAGGAGTATGCCTCCAACAAAGTATTCACAGAAAATGCCAAACCGAAAAACCATCCAAAATGAAGGAATGAATGTTCAGAGCTTTTCTTGTAAAGTTGCATAACTAGTAGTCCTACATCTAAAATGCAAGAAAATGTAGAATGCACCAAAACCATGTAAGCCGAACAAGTAAACTAGGACCCTAAATTTGTTTAGCATCAATAGATTGCCACCCTAAAACCAATACCAATTTCAAATTATCATATGATAAAAAGTCCAAATTTAATAAATGGTTGAGGTAATGACCACATTAGGCTGACAAAAGTAACACTTGTTAATATCAGTTAATAGACCTCTATAAAACCTTAGTTAAAAGTTACAAAGGAAGTGATCGAAAGTACATGGTTACTAATAGATCTCCAAACTGAAACAGCTTTTGGCCTAAATGGCACAACCCAAATAAAATTAAATAACCAAATGTCCACTAATTAGTGTTAGCTCAGTAAAACAGTAAAAACAATCAAACAAATTAACCAGCGCCAAGATCCTAAAATCGAACAAAAATCCAAGTTTCTAAATTTCACCTCTTCTAATCCCTAATTTTTTTATTCCAAAAACGACCCAACAACGAAAGCCACTCAATTTCTAAGATCAAACTCTCAAATTAACTAAAAGAGGCAACTTTATGAATGGCCCAGAAAATGAATTTCAAAAAGGCAAAAAAGAAATAAAATGAGACCAAGAACCCAACCTTTAACGAGTTTGATGACAAGCTTTTTGGTGGGTTGAGGTGGGGTTGCCTTTTTGCGAGACAAATTAGCGGCGGCGGGAGCACGAGCATCATCGGACTTGGAATCATCGTCGAGGGCCATAGTTAAAGGGTCGAAAACGACGTCGTTATCGTTTTGGTTGTGGTGGTGGTGGTGTAGACCGTTTTTGTTTGGGTCGAGAGAGCAAGCCACCGCTTGGGACTTGTCTTTCTTCATTGGTGGTTGGAAGTGAGGAGGAGAAGAAGAAGAAGAAGAAGAAGCAGTGGCGTTAGAATTAGTGTTGCAGAGAGATCGTTTGGTTGGGGGGAGAGACATGAAAGTCATCAAAAGAGCATTGTAAAATTTTCAGCTTCTTTTAATTATTAAATTTTCTCCTGATCTCGGTTCTCTTGTTACAGTTGTTGCCTTCCTTAGAGAGAAAGGAGAAGATTTTACGAAGGCAGTAAAAGATAAAAATTTGCGAGCGAGAGAAACAGAGGGCTTGGTTCGTGCCTGCCTCGACGGTGAACTGGACTGGTTATAACCGATTGGACTATGAGTTTCGGATTTGATTTTTGGGTTACATAACCATTACAAAATCCAATATTGGATCAAAATCTTAAATGGTAAAGCCTGTAATGGAGACAAAACTGGAGTGATGTAACCCATTACTAATTTGGGCTAGACCAGAAATCCATTAGCCACAATTACTTAAATATTTTGTTTCTTAACCGACATCAGTTAGTTTCTTAGAGTCGTTGAATTTTTAATTTTTATTATTATGATTTAAATTTTGATATTTTTAAATCCTAAAAGAGTATTGCACGTAAACGACACACTCACACAAGAACAATTACTTAAAACTTTTTGTCCTTTTCTATTTGAAAATTTGTATACGGATGGTGTGAAATTACGACTTTTCGGCTCAAGGTAGCCTAGCTGATTGAACCTTGATGAAATTTCCCGGATGTTATCACTAGAGCAGTAGCATCAACAAACGAAAGGAATGACGTATAGCTCGCCGTAGAGTATATGACAAAAGATTTGAAAGTTATCAGAAGGGAAGTTTCCTGTACTTGGAAACCACTTCTCCTATCTTTTCGTACCGTGCGTACACTTGTAGTCGTGGAACTTGAAACCCAAGGCAGTTGTGCCAGCGGCATGAATTTCTACTTCTCACTGATTTTTTTATTCCTTTACACACATGAAGGTTCGATCGATCCTTTTAATTCCATGATCTGTGGCTCGAGTTTTTGAATCTGACTACAATAGGGAACATGCCAAGCACCTTCCTTTTTAGTTATTTTATACACTTGGGGGAATGAATTTTAGTTTGACACATTAAAGGATAAAGACATACTATCTTTTAACGGTGGATATATGACAGGCTGAAATGTGAACTGAGAGCTTAAAAATCAGGAGAAGATTCTAGTGGTTGTTTTGAATGCATGTATATTCCCCCAAGGCCACTTGGTTTCTATCTTTCAGTGTCAAGGACTAATTAAGAGTTTGCGTGCCCGATACCTCTTATTTTATGCCGGGCTTTTTATCTTTCTTTGATAGAGAAAAGTTTTTATGAAATCTTTTGTGAGAAATTTGTGAAATTGTTTAATATAAATGATTTAATTAAAATTTTAATAAAAATTTAAATTGATAAATTGATAGAATTTAATGAGAAAATCAATAATATATAAAAAAATTATTGAAAATTTTGTTTATAATTTAAATTTGATTAGTACTTATTCAATTTCAAAAATATTTTTTAAAATTTACACATTTGATCTATTTAATAAAATTTTTTAATTTATTAGTTTTGATTTTTGAGTTTAATTTTTATTTAATCATTTTTAGTGAAAAAATTTATAAATTTTACCTAAAAAATTTCATTTAATTTTTTTTCTTTTTGAAAAGCATATAACATCTTGTCCTTATCATTATATACATTATCTACGAGAAAAAAAAGTGTTCTGCAAATAAAGCTTAACTCAATTCTTGCATTTCTTCCGAATTAATTCTAACTGCAGCCATTTAGGATAAAAAGTTAAGATTTTTCCTGTTTTGATAAGCAAAACATGGGTTTCCACCCTATTAACAAATGGATCATGTTATCGTTTGCCTACAAATGTTTCAATAACTATATAGTAGTATACTATTGACATGAAATGTTTTTCCCTAGCAGCAACTAGCAAATCATTGGCGGAATTAACCTATCCCTGGTTTCAAGAAACTTGGTGCTGCGGCGTGCTTGTCCAGAATCAGTGACAAGGGTACTTCAGTTTAGACGACATAAGAATCATCACTTTAACAAAAAAAAGATTAAGAAGCAACTCATTCAAGGACCATGGTCTGATTCGCTAAACATGTCAATACATATACAGCTCGATGGATCTTATAACTTTTTTTTTTCTCAGTCAAAATAGGAATTTTATGAATCAAATCAGTCCAAAAGTACACTAAAAATCCCAAAAATAAGATTTGAAGGAGACAAAATGCCCATAAAGATTACAAAAGGAAATCATCTCCGTCATAAGAGTATATACAGGAGAATTAGTTAAAAAAAATTGAACTACTCTATTTCACTAATTCACTCTCTTAGTCAAATTTTCAATCATTGACTACTATATATATATAGCCGATTGTTATTTTGTATGAAAACTATACACACACATATATATATATATATATATTTTGCAAAATGAGTTTCATATGCAAATTTGCTCCCGTGGTCTAACATAATACATACAGTTGTCAAATAGATTTTTCCTGATCTTAGATGTGATTGATTTAAGTTAAATATAAGGAAATTTATGGAAGAGGGAAAGACTTTGGATAATTCGTGATATACGTGCTTTGACGAAGACTTCTTTTGTTTGTTTCTTCGATCCCTGCTTTACAAACCGAAGGTCATAGGGTTTTGCTTCGACAGAGACTTGGGTCCGTCCAGACTGCACATGCCCTTTTTTGAACAGTCAACTTCCTTCCATTTCTCCATTAACTGTTCACAACCGCCAAACGCCACCTCGTTGGTATCTCGGTCCCCTCGGTCTATTTTCCCTATATAAACCCTCCAACCCAGATTGCAACTTGCATTACATATCTAAAGCAATACCAAGTTTTCAAGCAAAGAATTATATGTGTTAACTACTCATCCAATTCCCTATATTTTCTCTTTATTCGTGTTGTTTTCAATGGCGGCTACTGCTAAATCTCATGGAGATGTTAAGGTAGTGCTAATTGACACTCAATACGTTGAAACTGATCCCCTCAGCTTCAAATCAGTAGTTCAAAAGCTTACAGGAAAGGATTGTTGCGTTGAATGGATAGATGAGAGATCGTTTTGCTGTAGGAAAACCGAAACAAAGGTAGCTGGAAAGGTTGCAGCTGAAAGGTCATATGGCACGATCGGCGGTGGCTATGGTGGTGGTAGTGGCCTTGGTACTTCCATGTTAACTAAAGGTTTATCTTTTAAAGACTTGGATAGAATGATCTTGGAGGCGCCGCCAGTGGACGAGTTGAAGTGGTGGTGGGCTGACTAGCTAGCTAGCTAGCTAGAATTTGTTAAAACTTTTCAGGCTATTATTAATTGATAATTTTATAATTGTTAGAATTTTTTAGAATTTTTCTAGCTAGAATTTGCACTATTTTTTCAGATTTGATTATATATATATATATATATATATATGATATATCCAATGAACTAATTTTTTTATATCATTTCTGCTGTATGTATGGTTTAATTTTGCTTTTCTCAACCAATAATTAAGTTGTTTGTTTGTTCTTCTTTTTACTGATTGTTTTCTTTTTTTTTTTTCATTTTTTCCTAGAGGGAATTAAAGATTAATTTACCATCTTCGATTCTAAATAAACACAGTACTTAGCAATACAAAAAATAGCTAGCGGCATACGGGAGCTTTTAATTTGGAGTTTAATTGGTTAGATCAGCTAGGGTCGTAGAATGAGTGGCGGTTCAAGAGTCCGCGCCACCACGGCATGCAAAAGCCAATATTTGGTTGTTTTTTGTCTGTCTGCGGGCATCATTTGCCGTAAGGGTGAGGAAAAAAAATTGAAAATTGTTTTGAAATTATAATGTTTGATTAAGTATGAATTGATTTTTTTTTATTTAATTCGGATAAAATTTAGATATTAAATATATATATATTAAATTTAAATTAAATTTTAAATCGAAATGTAAAAATATTAAAAAAAATAAAACGAATAATATATTTTTATTAATTTTTACATATTTTTTAATTTTTTATAAAATAAAAATAATTATTTTATATATAAATTTATTTAAATATAATAAAAATTTTATTAAAATAATATATAAATAATAAAAAAATTTTAAAGACTGATAAACTAAACCAAACTAGACTGATAGAATTTAATTTGGATTGAATAATTTAAAAAAAAAGATCAATTTGAATTTATATCAGATTTTAAAAATTCATAATATTATATATTATCCAAAAAAATCAAATTTAATTCAATTCAATCTGAATCGTTATCACTCTTAATTTTTCGTTCAAAGGAAATATAAATAAATATATTTAGAGAAATTACTTCATATATTGTCAGTAAAAGCTTTTACCTTTACAAACGAGATTAACAAAATCATACATATTTTATTCTTTTAAATTAATTTTTTATTTTTTTAAATATATATTAAAAAATATATGTCATCCTATCAATCTTACTTATAAAGTTAAAAAATTTCAATATTAATATATTTGATAATTTCCCGTACATTTATATATAAAGAGAGTAGAATGAATGATTGGAACAGTATAAATACAAAAAAAATTATTACTAAAATTAATGCGCATGCCGATAGATATATAAAAAATAAAAAATATATATTATACACGCTTATCAAATACACATATAATTAAAAAAAATTAAAAGACTCATTTAACCATTAAAAAAAATAATATAATCCCATTCCAAGTAAATACATTGATCAATTAGTACTATGATCTAATTATTAGTGGTTAGTTATAATAGATTTTTTTATTAGTTTAAGAAAATCTATTAAAAACGAAGAAACACATTAATAAAATATAAAGATGTTCTTAAGAAAAACAAACAAAGATAAAAAAAAAAAAAATCAACCAACATAAATGAATAAAAAGACTAAAATAGATAACATAAACATAGTCAAATTGAGTTGTGGTCGAGTGAGTTTTGTAATTAACTTTTGGTTTTATTTACCAATTGACATGATTTGGGTGATGTATCAAGTTCGTCTTGATTCTCCTTTTTCTTGATGGCTGATTCTTTGGTAAAATCTGGAATTGTAAAGGTTTACGTGTTTTAATGTTTGGTGATTATGAGTGGTTTGGATATTTACTATAGATATGTTTTTATGATTTTAGCTAATTTTGTTCAAATTTTTTATATATAGCATCTTTGCTGCTTTTATTTGAATCTTTCAAACTATTTACCTTCTTTTATAAAATAATAATGGCTTAGAAAAAATTTTAAAAAAAAAAGAAATAAAAGAAAGTAGAATCGATTAATTGGAGTTAGGTGAGAAAAAAATTTTAAAAATAAAAAATTAATTTAAAATTATAATATTCGGTTTGATTAGAATAAGTTTTATTTATTTGATTCGGATCAAATTCAGATATTAAATATATATAATAGGTTTATATTAAATTTTGGATCAAAAAAATAAAAAAAAATTGAACCAAATTATATATTTTTTAATTTATATATATATTTTTAAATTTTTATAAAATAAAATAAATATTTTTATATTAAAATTTACTTAAATATATTAAAATAATATATGAAAATTAAAAAAAATTAAAAATCAATAATTTGAATCAAACTAAATCAATAAAATTTTTTTTAATTCAAATTTAAATAAAATTTTATAATATTATATAATATTAAAAAAAATTAAATCAAATCAAATTCGATTCAATCTAATCCTAATCAAAACTACGTTACATAAAAAACAATCGCTTTTTGATTTATAATTATTTAAAATAATTAAGAATGTATTTGAACACATGGGCTCTCCACGGACATGGATGCTTTCAACACCAAAATTGAGATGGATAAGCCCAACTAAAATATTTCTTAAATGGATAAGCCCAAAACCAAGGCATTAATTTCTTCGTTTTTCCATGTAATTGTAAACAATGTAATGCCAAAGTTGTTATTGCTCATTTACTCACATTACATTCCATTCGTTAATTCAATTTTTGATGAAATAAAAATTTAATTTCATCTCCTTGAAACATGGATAAAATTTTGGAATTTTCCTTTTAAATTTCTGAAGAATAATAATATCAGCACAAACCACTTCAATAGTTACATTTTTTTATTGAATAGTTAAAAAGATTACTATGTATATTATTCTTTTTTTCATTTTTTTCCCAATTGTAACAAGAACAATTTGGGATAACTGTCCTTAATGTTCCTTAATGTTCTCACAATTTTGACTAATGCTTGTTGTCCATCAAATATATATTTACTTTGTATTAAAATTAATTAATGGAGCCAGAAATTCTAGATCATTAGGCTTTTGGGATAACTGTCCCACCAAGAATCACCATGACTACAAATAATAAGGCAAGATCCTTTTTAGGGGAAGAAATTTCATATACAATATATATAACCATACTTGCTTTTCATTCCTTCAATCTGCTTTAACCATTCTCTTATCATGATAACCTTTGTTGCAAACCATGCATAATGCACCCCAAAAAAACAAAAAAAGCAATTGTCTGGCTTCTTTTTCAAAGTAAAATCCACTCAACAGTTCCCTCTTGGAAAATTGAGGAATGATTCATACATTTTAAAACCAAAATATACCTAATTAATGTTGGTATCCACCTGAGAAGAAGAATGTCTTTGAGCAAACATATTCATGTGAAAAAAAAAATACAATTGACCAAACTCTTTCATGCATTGAACCCTCAATCCCCCCTCTTTTCTTTTTTTTTTTTTCTTCCATGAATCTATGCTTCCTTCTTTATAATACCAAAATGTCTTTAACAAAAGTATGTTTCTTTAGTAAGAATCTTCTTTATGATATATTTCTCTCTCACCCTCATAGACATACATATATAGACAAAATCCAATTTGGATTTGCAAACCAAAAAAGGAGAAAGAAAGTGAAAAGATGAAATTGACCATATACTTGTGATCTCTAAATTTTGAGTTACATATTATTTTTATCTCTAACATTTAAAATGCGACTTGTTGATCAGTAAATTCATAAATATATAACATTTTGATCATTTCGTCAACTTAATTGTTAATTTTAACATTAAATATTAACTTTAAATTTTCATTAATTCTTCGGTAATCAAGCTTGGCCATATATATTTAAGAATATTAGCTTATATCTTGGTTTTTCGAGTGAAATGATCAGTGCTTCTAAATTTTACTTGGACTGCCAAATTGATTCGATCCTTAGGAAATAAGCCACCTAGATTGATCAATTCATGACTTTATGAGAAAAAAAAAAAAGGATCAAATCAAGTTCCAGCTTTGCTCAATTGGAGAGGTTTAACTTGAAAACTACATGGAGGGACATCTAATGTCGAAATCAAATAAAAAAAAAAGCCAACTTCTCCTCTATTTATACGTGAACTAATTAAAACTTGTAAAAAGGAAGGGCGGGCAAAGGTTTCGTATCCCATACACATTACCAATTTCAATCGTAAGATATATACCTTTCAACCTGGAAAACGACTCTTTAGATTCAGCCACCATCGCCCAATTCCAAAATTTAATGCTAAGATGACAAGAACTGACGGGGCAATGTTGAAGAGTCTCTCGCAGTGGCAGCCAAAAATGGCTAGTAATTTGGACATGTGCAGTAATAGAAAGTGACATTTTTTTACTGTTAACAGGTTTGCCTGCGTGTACATGAAATGAAACCGGACCTGTTTTTTGATGTTCTGCTGCGCCTGCCCTGGAAAATGTAAAAAGGTTTTACTGTCAGGGTCATTCTTTTTTTTGGGTGCATCATCTTTACTTTAACAAAAAGGATTTGAAAAGAATACTTATCCATGGAAATTTCTTCGTATACCATTTCTTATCCACTCGCCAAACCTTACTTTTCAATTGGGTTTCTGTACTAAATAATAAAAAATTGTAAGATAAATTTTTATACAATATATATATATATATATATATACACACACATGAATAAAATCATATATATGTCTTAACATTTAGGTTGGAAACCTACCTATTAGACTCATTGCTTTCAGTGTAACAGTAGAGACCGAATTTCTAATTTTTTATTTATTGATTTCATGGGTATTTGTTAATCTTTAAATTTGATAAGATTTTTTCAATTTTCTCTTTCTAACATTATTTAATTTTGATATATTAAGACTATATACTTCTTATTTTACCTAGAGAAAACTTTATATTCTCATTATTTCAATAGTGAAAATTATTGGTTGCTGCCCATAGTTTTTATTTTTCATTTTTGGGAGACAATCGATATTTTTTATTTAGGTATGATTGATCACCTATGTGAATCTATTTTTTTCTAAGATTATCCTAAATATAAACTATGAGTCCTTAAGAAGAATAAGTTCTGATCTACATCATCAAAACTAAAGTTTAAAAGCCGATTAAGTGTAAAGAAGGTATTAGCACCCCTTTATACCCAAAATTGGTACCAAGTTAATTATGTGTTAACTTACCTAAGTCTTATCAAAGATGATTTTATCATGCAAATAAATCAATTACA